ATTACTCTGAAGTATAGTTTCCCTGTCCTCTCTTGACTTTTCCTAAACACTTGGTGACTAAGAATATTTTTTGTTTGTTTGTTTTTTATTTGTTTGTTGTTAATCTAGCAGGGGTTTTTGTGAAACTTGCAGGATTACTAATTTTACTGCGTGGACTGAATATATCACTCTTGTGATGCATCCAGGAGGCATGATATTCATGATCATTTCAGAAATCCATTGCCAGATTAATAGTTCCTTATTATTATATGACCATACCCAGAGGAAAATAGTTTGAAATATTAGTCCTGTGAAAACTCAACTGTTGAAAAAGGCTGTTTTTTTTAAAGTGGAGTAACAAGAGAGGTGTCTTTTGCAGAATGTTCTTACTTCTAATTATATCATCCATAAGCAAAATAGTATTACATTAATGTTAGAGATCATGTTTACACACTTTCAATTTATGCATAACTGGTCTTATGCATTGGAAGCAACAAAATGTTAAAGGCCTGATTAGCCAACTATGTACATACGGGTGGATTAACTTTGCTCAGTTGACTTTCTGTTGTGATTGAAGAAGAGTGCGTATGCTGTTGTGAATGTCTTCTGCAGGCTGTATGCTGATGATCAGTTTTGTATGAAAGGATTCTACTGTTACATCTAGGAAGGTTTCTGGACTTCTAGTTCATATATACAAAGTAGTAAAATATGTAAAAATAAGCTGAGCTGAATGCAATATTGAACTGTGCTCTTGTTAAAGATTCTTGCTAACATCAATGCTTTTGTTTATTTCATACTGGCTGTACCGTGCCACAGCACTTCAGGGAAATAATGGAATCTTTTAGCAAATATGGTTCACTTTTATAATTTTCTTCTTTCAATGAATTTGGTTTACGAAAAATCAAAACTTCTTGTTCTGTCTCCATAATTATCTAACTTGCATTCATAGGTCATATGTAGACTTGAGAAGGAGAGCCCCCAGTACAATTAAAGTTTAAATACTCTGATTCTATTGAATGAACAGTATTAGTGCAGTATGTAGCAGTCCTTTGGTTTAATTATAGCATATCTCCAAAGTTAGCATTTGATACATTTTTATTTTCTCCCTCTTGGATAAATGACTAGGAGGCATGTATATGAAGTTTCCCAAGTCAGTAGCTGCTTATCTTGATTGCTATCTGTTTTTGTTATCTAAAATGTAATTACAATACTGTAGTATTCACACTGTGCTGTTCTAAGTTCTGATACACTAAACGGAAGAGAAATGATGACTTTAGACCACAGTATCTTGCTGAGGTTCACACACCCACCTTGTTAATTCACACCTTCTTACCTAACTGGCTTTAAAAAAATACTTTGACTGATTTCCTTTAGTAACATACAACCCTTCAAAATTAGAATTAAAAGTTTAATGGCCTAAATACAGTGCGGTCCTGTTTGAAAAGCCTGATTTATCTTCTGTGCTTCTTTTTTTATACTAGTATTTCCTTGTTATGCCCTTGGTATTTCATAGCTGTCCTTTTTAAGCACTGAAGCAATTAGTTTTGAGAAGGCTGATTCTTCAGGGTCCAGTGCTTTCCTGCCTTTCATACGCCAAAGCTGTACATTTTAATGAAGTTGTTTCATCTGTGTTGCCAAACACTAGAATTTTGCTGCTTCAATTCTAATTATCTCTGCTGGCAAATGCTATGTTTTATTAAAGCTGTCAAGTGCACTGTTCATTAAATGGCCACAGTCTGTGGTGCCGTGCACACAAATTAGATCAGCTTTGCTCCTTGATAGATTATGAAGAAGTTAAATATTTTTATATAAACCTTTAAAACCTAGTCTAACAGCAATCAGTGATGACTTACCTAAGTAAAGTGTGCCTGTAGTTTCTTGAGATCTACTATCTTGTCACAAACCATTTTTGATACATATATTAAAATTCCAGTAACCCAGCTGAGTACACTGTTTGTCTGTAAGATTACTTTATTCTTTAAGAGACCATTTCCATTCCTAAAGATACCTACAGTTGCATCTTGAATGCTAGTTTGTATATTATGGTAAGATAAGTTTTGTTAAGTATGTATTAATATAAGCAAAATACATCAGTGTTAGCCTTTCGTTGAGGATTGTATAATGTAATTGATCTCCACTAAAAGCAAAGACGGCTTCATTTTAATGTTACTAACCTGGTGAGTGCAAAAGATTGCTGTAGTAAACAACTACTACCTTCTCTTTTATAATTGCTTATTTTGAAAGGGAATTTTACTGCAAGATATTTATGTGAAATATATGGGACACTAAGCTCAAGATGACAAAATATACTTGCAAAAAAAATAATTTGAGTCATCTGTCATTTTGGCACAGGTGGAGTTTTTTGTTATTATTTTTATATATTCTCTGGTTATATCATTATCTTGAATAATACAAATAGTCATTCTTACTATTTAATTTATTGTGCTCTAAATGTTCTTTAAGAGAATTAATCAGATATCGTGATGATAGCTAATCAGATGAACATGTTGTTGTCTTTTGAAAAAGATAGGTAAGGTAGGTTTTTCTTACCTTTCAGCTATCTGTAGGAAGTAACTTCAGATTTTTTTTTTAGTTACATGGCTTTATGGCATCACTTCTCTATATTGGTTACTTTATTTTTTAAAACATGTAATTTTATACTTTCCAACATAGCATTTAAATTTATTAGGCTCTGTTTTAAACCTTCACAGAAGCATATATTTATTTTACTGTTTATCAAAATCTTAAATGATATCTCAAAGCTAAAGGGAAAAGAACTTTGGGGTTCTTGTATTTTTTTTTTTTGGGGGGGGGGGGGTTGGTAGGAAACTGCAGTCCTTCAGAAAACTATGAGCTACTCTTCCTCCTCTGTTCTCTTTATGTTCTAGTTTGGAGAGCTCTAGTAGAATCAGATGATCCTTGTAGCCTCAAGTTTCAATGGAAGCTATATTTGTTTGTGTTTCTTTGTCTGATAGTGTATTTTGCCTTATCAAGTATGTTTTGTGGTATTCATAGGAAGTAATAGCATTTAATTTGAGTTTTTGAGTGCAGAAACAGAAATTAATACTCTCAAAGCAAACATCTGAGCCTCTGCATGCCAGAACTTTTCATTCAGCAATCAAATGCTTAAAGGAAAAGGTTTGTTCTTCACATAGCAGGACTTTAACACCTCTGTAACAGAGCATCTTCAAAAATGGAATTGTAGATGCACTTCCCAGTATTCTGAGTTTCATTAGACTAGTTAAGAAATAAAAATTAGGAGTCTCTCACTTGAGAATTTCCTGCAACAAATTATTGATATGCACAGGTAGGGGCTCAAAAGGTGTTGCCTAAATGCAGTCCGAGGATTTAGTCCTGGCCCAACCCAGAAAATCATTTATATACTAGAGATACCACTCAATTTTGTTCATTGTTTGATGAGGAGTGGATTCTTGGAGGAACAGTAATATGTTCTTTGTGATTGCTGCTGGCTCACAGTCCATTAGCCTCGTTCTGCACCAGCTGTGGTATCTAGATGGTCAGTAAGATTATTCCAAAGAAGGGCAGGTTGCTACAGCTGTATTCAAGAACAAATCTCAGACAGAAGGTCCTAAGTACCTCAGCACAGATGTAGAAAATTGTTCTTGGCCACCAGCATTAGTTGGTCTTCTAAACAAAGAGTCTGGACTTGGAGGGAGAGTGTGCCTTTCACTCTGTTCAAAGGCTGAAGTCGCTTTTGTCTTCTAAAATACTTATCCAACTTCAGACCTCTAGTCTTCAAATTTTTGGTCTTGCACAGCATCAAATTTAACTTATTTCAAAGGCCTGCTATCAGACCGGAGATAGATCAAAAGAGGTGTAGCATGTTCTGTAGCCCTGAAGTAATTGAGTGATCTCTCTATATAAATCGTACTACAACCTAAGTTTCAAAAATAATAGTCCCTTGAATTTCAGAGAGCATGAAGCCACATAAAACAAGCGGAAGATCAGGACGGTATGAGAACATCAGCGATATAGATTATTCAGTGGGAAAGGGAAGCATGGAAGTGACCCAGATGTATGTGAAATATTACTGTTTTTTATTGATGGTTTTTGTGATATTTTTATTGATGTTTTTTATTATCATTTTCTCTTTGGATGTATGTTTTTATTTGCATTTGAGTCTGAACAAATAGGACAAAATAATTCCTGAACCTCATAGGGAGGTTTGCAGAGTTTTCAGGTTTATGTTTATATTTGGGCTGAGATTTGGAAGAGCTTATCACTTTTCTATTTTGGCTTCTTGAGAATTATGTGAATTACTATTGTGACTAGTGTGAATAAGCGTACCTTTTGGTCATACTGCCTTATTCACCCCTTTCAGGTTGATTGTGTGAAGTATTTTAACTACAACAGAGGCAAAAGCAATTTCTTTGTAAACCATAACAGCTTGCTCTTATCAGTATAGCCTCAGAAAATTGTGAAACATCACTGAAGCAATCCTTCAAGTATAAGAAAGACATCTTCCAAATGATGTAATTAGATACAGAAACAGGTATCTGATGCGTATACAAAATTTAGTATTATACTTAGGAAAAATCCTGCCTTGGGTGCAAAACAAAAGATACGTTTTTATGAGTCACTGTGGATTATCTGGCTGAAATGCAAAAGAGTAAAATTATTAGTGAAATACCATACAAAGAGGAATGTTCTTGATTTTGAATGTATAGAAATTAGAGGTTGATGTGCCATATTTTAATGTATAACTATACTATTTAACTATACCATATTTAACTGATTCTGAAATTTTAGGAATAGCTAGCAATTTTTTGCAGTTCAGAAGAAGTATGTGAGAAGTTTTGGTCCAAGATTTTAGATGTGATTCCCTGAAATTGATACTTTCTTTAAATTTTAACTGATTGTCCTGTATTTTAAATGTTGAATTTTAAAGGATTAAGACAATATTGCTTTTGTATTATTACATTTTGGAAAGCAATAGTCTGCTACTAATCTTGCAAAAGGAAAACTAGATTATTTTAATTTTGTATTATTTTTTATTGCAGGAACACCAAGACAGTATACTAGGTAGCACGATGCAAAGTGTAATCGCCTTACTGAGTAATTTGGTTGCTAACAAAAGCACAAACATGATGTTACTCTATAAAGAAGGTATGTCTTGTTTGCATTTAGTTATTCTCCTTAGTACAAGTGTTTCCTAGTCCCTTGTAATATGTGGCACTGTGTGAAACTTTGAGCTTATGATAAGTATTTTTATTCTGTATTGAATTGTTAGGTAATCACAATGTAACTGACTGGAATTCCTCATCTACATCTCTTAATGTTCTTGGTTAGAACTATAACTTTTAGAAAGCTGTTTCCCCGGGAAAACATGGTTATAAAATAATGACTGACTGAAGCTTTAATTATGCTTATGAAGAACGGCTTTGGAAGAAACTGGGCTTGAACTCTGACTATAATAGTGCAGAATGCAGGAAGAAAGTGCCTCTGCAAATTCTTTCTTTCTCACTGCTCAAGCCTGTGAAAGGATGAGTTTTACAGTAATTCTGTACTAGAAAAAAACAAATAAACAAAAAAAACCCCCTAACTGCTGTTCCAGTCTAGCAAGGTAGAACGATGAGGTGGAGCACAAACTGACTATATAGCCATCGTGTGAAAACCATTCCACATCTTTATTTCACTGTATTTTATTATTGAAGCTACCTTTCATTTAGAAATTGGTTCTGGTTTACTAAATGAAGACAATGTTTCTGCTTTTGAGATCTTTATAAGTTTGTTAGAAAATTTATTAGGACTATACACTTTGATAACCTAAACAATTTGCATTATTTATCATTTGTCTTATTTGTAGTTAATGAATAACTGACATCCAGCAATACAGATCTACAGTACTATTTGTGTAGAATAAATCAAAGACCTAGGCGACTGGCATAACAGTATATAGTATACTCCAGAAGGAAAAGGAAGAAATTCGCATTGTAAGTCTACACAGATAAGCCTTTTCTTAAGCCACGAGTTGAGAGGAAAACTTTCTAAAGTCTCTAGGCAAAGACAGAAAGGAACTTAAAATGGCTTCATCAGTGTATTGCTCTTCTATAGATGGTCACACTGGAAAAGGAGTTAGATGAGACATAGTATAGTTACCAGTATAAGTATCAGCACTGATGATGAAGATGAAATTGGAGTAATTTGATCTTAGATATTAAAAAAACATAAAAATCACAACACAAACCAGTCTGGAACTCTGTAAGGTTTGTAGTAGTGCTCATGCCCTTATTTTCATAATTACCTTAGTGGTTAAAGCACTCATTCAGAAAGTGAGAGACTTGACTTCTTGGCCCTTTGCACTCTGAAGGGATTGAATGGACAGTTCCCACATCTGGGAGACCATCATGAACTTAATCACAGAATGGCCAAGGTTGGAAGGGACCTCTGGAGATCATCTAGTCCAACCTGCCTGCTCAAACAGGGTCATCTAGAGCACATTGTCCAGGATCACCTCCAGGTGGGTTTTGAATATCTCCAAGGAAGGACACTCCACGACCTCTCTGGGCAATCTGGTCCAGTGCTCTATCACCCCCAGAGTAAATAAATTTTTCCTCATGTTCAGATGGAACTTCCTGTGTTTCCGTTTGTGCCTGTTGCCTCTTGTCCTGTCACTGGGCAACACGAAGAAGAGTCTGGCCTCATCCTCTTGACACCCTCCCTTCAGACACTTAAACACGTTGATCAGATCGCCTCTTAGTCTTCTCTTCTCTAGGCTAAGCATTGTAGATACCAGCATTCTCTTCTCTGGTTGAAACGGATCCACTCTGAAGCTAGCAATATGACAATCATAGGGCCAGAAGAAAAAGAAGTAGAAGAAAATCTGATTGAGTTTGAGAGGTTTGTAGGATTCTGATTGTTTGGTTAATTCTCAGCAAGGTGCCTATTATACTCAGAGCTGCTTAAGGTTTTGGGGGGTTATATGTACGTGCTACTTTACTTTCTTTGGGCATGTTTGTTCTGTGCGTTCGAGTGTGATGCAAAAATCCTAAGTAAGCACTGACCGGAGCTGCAACTAGATAACTTATTAAAACTGCACAGTGGCATGGAAAGAAGTTAGCACAAATCCCACAAGCACTATAGACACATACTTGGAATGCTTTACACTAAGTACTATGCTGTGCCTTTCTGCATGGCTAATTAGGTGCAAAACTATAACATGGTGAAAATGCATCTATTCCCTAAACATCTCTATATTGTCTCACAAGGCAAAGTGTTTCGTACTTTTAATGCTACTGGTTGTATGCCAGAGCTCTTTTACTTCTCATCTGCTCTAAAAAGAAAAAAAAATGCATCTCTTCTGTCATGATAGTTCCCAAATTGAGGAAGTGGGATAGAAACATTATTAAAGTCTTTTATCTTTTCCTTGTGCTATGTCATAAATGATTCCAGTAATGTTTTCAGATCATTAGGGATCGGATAACACCAACTTGGGCTCACTGAACTTCATCATCCACACTAGGAAGAACTGCACAGCAGGGCAGAGATAACTTATCTCAAGTAAAATGTCTTGTCTTTTCCCATCCCTTTTACCAATTGGCTAGTCTTCAGAGCATTAAAAACCTGGCATTTGGCCAGTGCTTTATCGATAAAGGGCCTAATTGTCAATTAAAGAACATCTGAAACTTGGCCTATAGGAATGTTGTGAAAGTATTGATTTAGTAATTGTAGACCGTAAGATTTTATTTGAATGAAAACAGGATGAATGTTATTCTGGATGTATCTCCCTCAAGATGGAGGGCCCCCCCCCCCCCCCCCCCTTATTATTGTCCATTGTAAATGTATGGTATTCAATGCAAGAAAATATCTTAAATTTCCCCTGCTACTTTGACTTTGTCATTTTTGAATGATTTTTGAGTGACAGAGAGAGACATGATCTGGTAAAATGGCCACTAAACTTCTCCCAGTTGCAGAAAAAGAGCTGGGGGTCCAAATGGACAAGCTGAACATGAGTCAGCAGTATGCCTTTGCAGACTGCATACTGGGCTGCATAAGAAAGAATAACCAGCAGGTTGAAAGAAGTGAATAGTCTCCTTTATTTGGCACTTAGGAGATTGCATCTGGAACATGGTGTGCAGTTTGGGGCTCCAAACTACAAGACAGACATTGACAAGCAGGAGCAAGCCCAGAGGAGGAGAGCCAAGATGATTAGGGGATGGGAACGCACAGTGTATGTACTTGCAGCCAGTCAGTCCCCTGCACTGCTACACGAGTTATTCCATCCCAAGGGCACAACTTTGTATCTACCTTAGACTTTAAGATGTTTATGGTAGCCTGTTCCTCCAGATACTTGAGCTCTTTCTGAATGGTGGCCCAATGCTTTAGTTGCATCAACTGTTCGCCCCATTTTGATGTCATCTGCAAACCTGGTGAAGGTGCATGCTGTTCCATCCTATTAACAGTCTATATCCAGGCTCTTAATGAAGACATTCAGCATTTATGAGCTAATATGCTGCCCAAGAACACTGAAGACAGATTATTATGATTGATTAATTTCTCTGATTTCCGCATGACAGTGTGATAATTAATTCATGTATATATGGTTCTTTACAAGTTTAAAAACCCTAAATGCATGCTAAACATTATAAAGGACAGATTATAAGGGCAGTCTTGTTGAGTTTTTTGGGTTTTAAAATACTTTTTTTTTTTTTTTTTTACTTTTTTTGATAGCAATGAGGATTGCTTTGCAATTCTTTGTATGCCTTTGGTTGCCAAAAAACAATACTTTTGCTGATCATTCAGAGACCCTAGTCACTCTTTCCTTTTGTGCTTGTTAGCCTTTAGAACTGTCTTTTTCCTTCTCGAAAGAGTTGTATTAGGTGATAGAGAGATTTTAAATGGTTGCAGCTCACGTGTGGAACTTTCACATATCTCAAGAAATCTTCCTTGATGGCACTTCTTTCGTTACTACTGCTGTAGTTCCAAACTAATAAAAATGATATGGTCATACATTATAGCAACTTCCATACAAGGTGGACTGTCTAGGATTAATTTCTCTCTCCCCTGAACTGTGTTGTTTTGTGTGACAGTACATCAGGCATGTAACAATAACCACCTGTAATGTTTAAGGGTGAAATAGAGAATAACATACCACAACTAAAGTTGCAGAGGGAATTTAAAATGGCCTATACTGCGCTATATTAGCAAATTCCAAGCATTTTTTCCGTTAAAATTAATGGTAATTTCTGCTTAATAAGCAGAGAGGAATAATATAATTCATTTTAATTACTGAGACTGGAAGTCAATAAGGAGACTAGGATTAACCTATGATCTCTTGTGAAAAATTAAAGATAAGATGCTAAAAACCCAAGATAGTATCAGTCATTTTTAGCAGGGTCTTCTAAGGAAGTGGCACTTATCCTGTCTCCCTTTGTCTTGGCTTCTATCTGCCAGTCTCTTTCCTTCCTCCCTTTCCCAATCTTTTGAATTCATTGGAAAACTTTAATTTAATTGGACAGAGCATAGAGTTCCAAAAACCAAAGTACTTAACGGTTCTATGATAGCCAATAGCTGCGGAAAGGAGAGAGATCCAAGTTAGGGCCACAGCTGAGGAATAATATAGCATGGGCTCATCAGTCATCTGCTCTGTTTGGACTTGTGGCTAATCAGTCACAGTATACCACCTCCAAAGTAACTAACCACTTTGAAAGAGTAGATTTAAAAGAACTTTTCCTGACAATCTTAAACGTAAGTACAGCAAACAGAAAAGTGCAATACAAGACGTGTAAAACAAGTATATGTGTACTTATACATTTGCAGAAAGAAAAGAATCTTAATATCTAAAATTCCCAAGTTATAAAATTTAAAAAATAGTAAAGTTGGAAGCATATCATCTTAGACCATGCTTATCCCTATGGAGATTAGATTGTTAAAAACAAAGGTCTCATTGCATCTTCAGGTAGAAACTAAAGATGTTGAATGTAAATATGTTCATCTTAGAACAGTTTGTCTTCTTTTGTCATAAAGTTATGATGTGATCAAAGTGGATCTAACTGATCGGAGTTTATATTCTGCATTAGAGTAGTTCTTACTAATGGAGGTGAAACCTTCTCATCTGAGATTCCATTTCCTTTGGTATTCATTACATTAATTTATAAAGCATAAAA